TGTGGGGCCATGTAAGAAGAAGAGAGAGGAAGAGAAAGAAAAATTATAAACTTCACACACTTTTATGTGTATGTACTCCTTCAACATAAGAAACTTTAAACCCAATTTTTATAAACTTATAGGGAAAATAGTTTCTCATATTGCATAAGATAATTTTTATCTCATATATACACAAAAAAATGGATGAGACCATTAAGGAGAAGAGTGTTAAAGAAAACAAGTGAGTTTCACCTATTTTTTGTGTCCATGAGACAATCTCACGAAACTATATTCCCATAATTATAATATATTTTGAAAATGATAAGGAATGTACTTCCACGGTTATACTTTGTTAGTTATTGTATTTTTTCTTTGGATAAATTACAGGTATTATTTAGGAAGACAATCATGTTCGGGTCGGGAACATTTACATTATGATGGAGTTAGCTCTTTTAAAAGGGATTATTTTTCATTCACGAAGACTTAAATCCAAAATCTTGTTTAAACGGAATCAAACATGTACCACCTTAACCAATCTTTGATTGTTTAAGAAGTCTCATATTGGACAACTAGTAGGAGGTGAGTGAGTTTAAACCCACACACCCCTTCAACTTCCCTTTTCTCTTTTCTTCCTCAACCCACTTCTTATTCATAATCAATAGATTGTCTACATAATTATATATAAATTCCAACAATCCCCCACATGGATAAGAAGTCAATTCATCGTGACTAGAATGCATAAGAATATGAATGCAAAGTGTAATTTTCTCAACGAAAAACAACTGCATCGAGATAGGTAGAGTTATCTTTGAACCTTCTCTAGTCAAAACCTATCGGATATACTCGGTCAATCGGTGGTCTGGGCGACTTGAACTGTCGACCTTTAATGTATACCTAAACAATAGGAGTCACACAATTGCTTCTCTAGCATTGTTGGTCCTTTGCTTTGCCCATTTTGACCGTGAGACACCTGCCTGGTTCTGCGCCCTGCTGCCCCTGTGAGAGCCAATGCTCTCTGTCTCCTCGTGCTGGAGCGCCCAAAGTGGGGGCTTAAGCGCCCAGGATTGCGCGCTTGAGCGCCCTGGTTTGCGCTTAAGCGCCCTTCGCTGCAGAAAGATGGGATGCTTACTGTCTCCGGGGGTTTTATCGCCCAGAGTAGGGCTTAAGCGCCCAGGGTTGCACGCTTGAGCGCCCTGGTTCGCGCTTGAGCGCCCTTAGCCACTGAAGGAGGAGATGTTTCTGTCTCTGCGCGCTAAAACGTCCCAATGGGAGCTGAAGCGCCCAGGATATAGCGCTTGAGCGTCCTGGTGCGCGCTTAAGCGCCAATTTACACTAAAATACCTTATGCTTCCTGCCTCCGTGCGCTTAAGCGCCCAGATGGAGGCTTTAGCGCTTGATAACGCGCGCTTGAGCGCCCGGTAGCGCGCTGAAGCGCGCGGGGCCTGTGATCAACACCTTTTTGTGTTGCTTTCAATTGTCATAACTTGAGCTACAGTGCTCCGATTTGAGTGCGGTTTGAAGCCACACGTAGCTAACGAAGAGATCTACAATATAGTAGAAGTTGTGAAATGAATAAGAAGTAAAATAAGGGTTTTAAAAATGGAATAAGAACATGATGTTAAGCTTGAATTATCTGATTCCGCAAGGTACTGTGGTTATGATCACGAAATTGGGTATTATAAATTCGGCATGTTTTATAAATGAAAAATTTATCCGGATTTTAATTGAATCCATGTGATTGTAACTGCGCTTAATATCATAATGCGATGTTAACAAACCGGTTCTAGAACGGGGTGTTACATTTTATGGTATCAGAGTATAATTCCCTTGATTGTTCCACCAAGCCCTGAAAGGGTAGTGGTAATTATAGTGTATATAATTGCAATGAAATAGTGTAATGCTTTGTTATACGTATGTGTATGTATTTGGTGTGGCATAGGATGTGTTTCCCTATGTGGTATGTTGCATGACGATGCGTAAATCATACTTGGTAGTTAGCTGGCTAGTAGGACTATTTGCATCTGAGTTTCCTTAGGACAGCTTGAGAGCTTGAGAGATTTCTCCTGGAGATGTTATTGCACTTTGCATAGATATGTATTTACTGCATTATTATTGTTATTGCTATTACACTGATATGGAACTGTGGGGTGGAGAGATGCTCCAAGGACCCCTGGTTTACTGGATATATTCGTATATCTCACCCCGTGTTGTGGGGACCCCCTTTCAGGTAAGGATGCTGCAGGAGCCTCTGGTGGCAAGTGGCCATATCTGGATTAGCATATGCATGAAGTGTTGCATTTTTTGAGATTATACATGTTGTTTTGGTAGCTCAGATGTATAGGATTGTAATTCATAGACAATTGATAGATGTATGATTGTATATTGGAATGGACTTAGCCTATGCTCATGCCTTTGGTCATTTCTTTTGTTGGTGGGAGCCAAGGGAATGATCATAGTGTTTTGTAAGCTAAGTTCCATGATTTGTAATGAGTATGTACTGTAAATGATGCCTACTTGAATTTCAATATATGCATGCTTGTTATGTATTGAGTTATTGAATTGGTTGGGCTGAGAATCAATTAGGTACCTTTTGTTTAAATTGGGAAACGTTGAGTAAACAAAGGTTATACTGCCCAAATTCTAGCTAAATCTCATGAGGAGAGGTTGGATGAGTGCTAGGATTAAGTTTTGAGGCATGAACCATTGGGGTTTGGAATGGGGATACATTTTCCCCTAGACTTGGACTTGAAAAATGAGGGCAATGAAATTCCCTGGCAGCGCGCTTTAGCGCCCTGCTGCCCCTGTGAGAGCCAATGCTCTCTGTCTCCTCGCGCTGGAGTGCCCAAAGTGGGGGCTTAAGTGCCCAGGACTGCGCGCTTGAGCGCCCCGGTTTGCGCTTAAGCGCCCTTCGCTGCAGAAAGATGGGATGCTTACTGTCTCCGGGGGTTTTAGCGCCCAGGGTTGCGCGCTTGAGCGCCCTGGTTCGCGCTTGAGCGCCCTTAGCCACTGAAGGAGGAGATGCTTCTGTCTCTGCGCGCTAAAACGTCCCAATGGGAGCTTAAGCGCCCAGGATATAGCGCTTGAGCGTCCTGGTGCGCGCTTAAGCGCCCATTTACACTGAAATACCTGGTGCTTCCTGCCTCCGAGCGCTTAAGTGCCCAGATGGAGGCTTTAGCGCCCGATAACGATTAAGGATTTTAAAAATGGCATAGGAACATGATGTTAAGCTTGAATTATCTGATTCCGCAAGGTGATGTGGTTATAATCACGAAAGTGGGTATTATAAATTCGGCATGTTTTAAAATGAAAAATTTATCCGGATTTTAATTAAACCCCTGTGATTGTAACTGCGCTTAATATCATAATGGGATGTTAACAAACCGGTTCTAGAACGGGGTGTTACAATTCTTATAATTATATTATATATTATGGATAGTATATATTATTTAAGTATATAGTAAAATGCACTACAAATAATATATAGTGTAGTTTGTAAGAGTTTATAAATTTTGAGTTTGTAAATATAATTTATTCCTTTAATATTTTTTTTATGTTTTAGAAAATAAAATTATTTTTTATATATACATAAAAAAAATTTAGGATTCATTTTTTTTTTCCTCATACTACCTATATATTTTTATATGTATAAGAAATAAAATCATCTTTTAAGACATGACAAACAATAAACCTTGTAAATTATATGGATAACTAACAATTTTTTTTAGAATTTAATGTTTCTTATGTTATAGGAGATAAATTTATCTTATTTACACATAGAAGTAATGAGGCAGATATTTTTCTTTTTCTTTCTTTTCCTCATATAAATTTAATAATTTTATGTGTGTAAAAAATAAATTTATCTCCTATAACAATAGAAACCATTTATTTTATGTCGTTTTTAAAAGGAGTGCTTTGTACCGTTTCTATCGCGCTAGGTACCATTAAATGCAGTACGTTTGCTTTCAAGATTTTTTTTTCCTTCCGTTGTCAAGATCATTTGACATACCATTGTTTTTAAAATCGAAATTAGGAAATGTTGCATTTTCTGAATTTTCACTTTCCTGTTCCTGGCCTAAATAATATAATAATTTGAACCTAAATTGAACCGAAAAATTAAATTTGAAGGAAAGGGGTTTCGGCCGAGTACAATTCTCTGCTATTATAAATAATATAACAGTTTTTGTTATCAAAAAAATAAAAAAAATAATATAACCGTTTTTAAAATATTTATTATAGCTAGGAAGACTATTATAATTGATATGACCATTTTTATATTTTGACGTAATCTTTGCAGGAAACTTGCAAAGATATAAACTTGCATAAAACATGGCTCATTTTTTTTTTTTAAACATAAAACATGGCTCTTTAAACGTAGATCATGAAACAAAACGTTTAAGTAGTACGTGGTGTTATACTTCTAGGCATCAGCAGAAAAAAGAAAGAAAAAAGTATTTTCAAGAATATTGCAACTAATTGATTATGAAATTCCAAAAAAAAAAAATTATTATTATTATCGCAAAATTAATACTGCATATGACATTAATCAGAGTGTAACGGTACCAAAGAATGACAATAGGATTCCAAATTTCCAATGGATCAATGCAGAAACTCAGTTCTCAGTCATAATGATTAAAAAATCTACACTGGACAACGAGGGAGAACTCATGAACAGATGGGGAAAGAGAAGGAAGAAGAAGGAGACTGTCAATAGGGAGATGATTCTCACTATAAATCCTATCAATCAGTCCTGAACCTTCCTTCATTTGAGCCATCAGATGAACTATTCTCAGGATTCTGCAACAAATTCATCTAATTCAGCCTTTTATTCAGCATTTAGCATTCTGCATGACATAGAGTTTACTCCATCAATTGCACTGGCTTTTGCATTCAATATATTAACAATTTAATACACATATGAGATACATTTGTTTTTCAGGATAATTGAAAAGTACAACACAAGTACGTTAAATGATCCATTTTACAGTATAACTTAAACTATTTACCCAAAATGCAATGATATTTCAAGAAATGGAGGATTCAGATACGCGTCTAGTAGGAGAAGAAAACATAGGTTTTGGTGGAATTTCTAGGGAATTCAAGCTGTCTTCCAACATATCTATCACTCTACTCATTGTAGGTCTATCATTTGGAAACGTTTGAATGCACCATAAACCCACTATGGTCAATCTCTTTGTTATCTCATTTTCTTCTGTGGTCATCACCTCATCTGGTCTCAAATCAATGCCCTGCTCAAGCCTATTGTATACCCAGTGTGGGAAGTATATCTCACTAGTGTCACTGGCTTCAGCATTAATGTTCTTCCTCCCTTCCACCATCTCTAGCAGCATCATTCCGTAGCTATAAACATCAGATTTATGAGAAACTCCTCCCAAATGTCTATTCCACATTTCTGGAGCTACGTACCCAATTGTCCCTCTAGCATCTGACATGGAAATTATGCTCTCTTTTCTCGGACAGAGCTTTGCTAGCCCAAAATCTGATATCGTAGGGCAAAAATCCGCATCTAAAAGAATATTATGTGGTTTTATGTCAAAATGCAAAATTCTAGTATTGCACCCCCTATGCAAGTACTCCATCCCTCGAGCAATCCCTATGGCAATTTGATACAAATTCTCCCAGCTCAATGATGCAACAGTTTCATGTCCTTTTTTGTGAATAAAGTTTTCAAGGGAACCATTGGACATAAACTCATAGATGAGAGCTTTCTTGCGACCTTCCAGACAAAATCCAAGAAGGGTGACAACATTGACATGAGAAGTGCTACTGATACTGGCAACCTCATTGATGAAGTCTTCATTGTTTCCTTTGGCTGACCTCAATATCTTTACAGCCACAGGGCAACCACTAAAGAGATGTCCTTTGTATACAGCACCAAAACCACCTTGTCCTAGTTTATTTTTGAACGAGTTGGTCATTTTCTTGATGTCTGAGAATTTGTATCTTTTCGGAGTTAAAGCTCCATGACTTTTCAAGAATGCTTCAATATCTTTGTTATCTTTTTTGGTCAACCAAAATTTTCCACGCCAAGACGAGGACTTGCTTACCAAAAAATAAACAGTGATACATATCAACAATCCTGTTACCACTCCACCAATAATACCTGTTAGCAGACAGAGTCAATGAATTAGTCGTTAAGAATTTCACAGCCTGAGATGTTATGAAAAATACAACAAGAATTGCTATACCTGCTATCCTAGCAGTTGACAACGAAGAACCATGTACTTGAAATAAAAGGGTATTTGAAATATTATTGAATCGTATTTGAATCTGTACATAGGGGTCTCTATTTATAGAGACTTCTTGACCTAATTTTGACCTAATGGGCTTGGCCCAATATACAAGTAACGGACTAAATAAATACAAATAAATGACTACATAATTACTAATAAATGACTACATAATTACTATTTAATACAAATAAATGACTACATTATTACTAATAAATGACTACATAATTACTATTTACAACACTCCCCCTCAAGCTGAGGAATAGATATTTATCATTCCCAGCTTGCTAGCAAGTTCTTGAAATCTATCTGAAGAAAGCCCCTTTGTCAATAAATCAGCTAATTGACGCCCAGTGGGAATGTATGGAGTGGTAATCAACCCGCTATCAAGTTTCTCTTTGATGAAATGGCGGTCGACCTCAATATGTTTAGTCCGATCATGTTGAACTGGATTATGAGCTATACAAATAGTGGACTTATTATCACATAGCAGCTTCATAGGTCCCTCACATTTTATTTTTAGATCATCAAGTACAATTTTCAGCCACAGTAACTCACAAATGCCTTGAGCCATAGCTCGAAATTCAGCTTCTGCACTTGATCTGGCGACCACATCTTGTTTCTTACTTCTCCATGTCACCAAGTTACCACAAAGAAACATGCAATAACCAGTGGTAGAACGACGGTCAGTCACGGATCCAGCATAATCAGCATCTGTGTAGACTTCTAAAGATAGATTGCCATCACGTCGGAATAACAACCATTTACCAGGAGTACCTTTCAGATACTGAAGAATTCTCTCTACTGCCTGCATATGTTTCTCCCTTGGATCGTGCATAAACTGACTAACAACACTAACAGCATAAGCTAGGTCTGGTCTAGTATGGGCCAAATATATCAATTTCCCAACTAGCCGTTGATATTGTCCTTTATCAACTGGAGGACTCTCCTCTTCATAACCCATCTTGTGATTCTGCTCAATAGGAGTATTAGAGGGTTTACACCCGAGCTTTCCTGCTTCTTTGAGAAGATCAAGAACATATTTCCTCTGGCTGATAAAGATTCATTTGCTCGAATGAGCTACTTCTATCCCTAGGAAATATCTCAGTTTCCCAAGGTCTTTGACTTCAAACTCAGAGGCAAGCCGTGTTTGCAGAATCTGTCTCTCCACAAAATCATCACCTGTGATAATAATATCATCAACATATACAAGGAGCACAGTAAGCTTCCCATTTTGGGAGTGCTTGTAAAAAAGAGTGTGATCTCCTTGACTTTGTTTATATCCTAAGGTCATCATAACCTAAGTAAACTTTCCAAACCAGGCACGAGGTGACTGCTTCAATCCATACAAGGCCTTTTTTAATTTACAAACTTTATTTTCTCCCTTCACAGAATCAAAACCAGGCGGAATTTCCATGTAGACTTCTTCTTCTAACTCACCATTGAGGAAAGCATTCTTCACATCAAATTGGTTTATATCCCAATTGTAATGGGCAGCAAGGGATAACAAAACTCTCACAGTATTCATCTTTGCAACTGGAGCAAATATTTCTTCATAATCAATGCCATAGGTTTGAGAGTAACCTTTGGCAACTAATCGAGCTTTGTATCTCTCAAGAGTTCCATCAGAATTATATTTCAGGGCATAAACTCATCTGCACCCTACTGCTTTTTTTCCAGTAGGTCTATCAATAACCTCCCATGTTTTATTTTTCTCCAATGCATTCATCTCCTCTTGCATGGCTTGAGCCCAATTCCTATCTTTCAAGGCTTCATGTACTGATTTTGGGATTGCAATAGAGTCTAGTGCTGAAACAAAGCTTTTGTGCTGCACAGAAAGATTAGCAGAGGAAACAAAATGGGAGATAGGGTATTGAGTACAAGAGGGACAGGAGGGACAAGATTTCTTGAGACAAGCTCTTTTTCCTTTTCTAAGAGCAATGGGTAAATCATCAGAATCAGTAGTAATGGGTAAGTCATCAGAAGTATTAACATCATGATCAGAAATATGAGATTCAGGACTTACCAGTGGTTCAGACGATTGAGGTTGCTGCTGAGACAATGTGGGTTGTTTCCTTCTTTCAGGTGTCATAATCTTTCGTATCTCTGGTGTACTTGATGTATCAATCATAGGAGAATCAGTCACAGGAGGATTACTCACAAGAGGATCAGACACAGGAGGAACAGACAAAGGAGAAACAGACACAGGAGGAACAGGACCAGGACCAGGTGGAGGATACACTGACATAGGTAAAGGAGTAGACACTGATGATTCAAACTCAAAGAAGGGAGGTGATGAGATTTCTGGTGAAGGATTCTTCCCCTGAAGATGAGGATCTTGGAAAAAGGACTCAGATTCCTGAAATGTAACATCCATAGAAACAAAAAAATTTCTACTACTAGGGTGATAGCACTTGTAGCCCTTCTTATCAGGAACATAACCAAGAAAAACACATTTAATAGCCCTAGGGTCCAACTTACTGCGATGATGTTTATGAACATGAACAAAAGCAACACACCCAAACACTCGTGGAGGAAGACTCATCATAGTTGGAATAGAAGGGAAAAAAGAAGTCATAGAATGAATAGGACTTACATGGTCAAGTACCCGAGTGGGTAAACGGTTAATCAAGAATGCTGCAGTAAGAATAGCATCTACCCAATAGTATTTGGGTACATGTGTCAAAAACATTAATGCATGAGCCACTTCAAGAAGGTGACGATTTTTTCTTTCAGCAACCCCATTCTGTTGGGGGGTGTCAACACAAGTAAGTTCATGAATCATACCGTTATTTCTTATAAATCGAGAAAAGCTATGATTAACATATTCAGTACCATTATCTGTTCTTAGTCTCTTGAGTTTTTTACCAAACTGGGTCTCAATCATTTTATAAAATTGAAAGAACAGTTGTGGTACCTCAGACTTTTCACGCATTAAGTACACCCAAGTTACACGAGTGCAATCATCAATAAAAGAAACAAACCATCTATTTCCAGAACCATGAGGGACTTTAAAGGGATCCCAAACATCAGAATGAATAAGATCAAAAGGTTCAACACTCTTAGTAATACTAGAAGGAAAAGACACACGATGATGCTTAGCAAATTCACAAACATCACAATGAAAAGACTCAACAGATTTAGACAAAAACAATGACGGAAATAAAGATTTGAGTAAACTAAATGGAGGATGACCTAAGCGCTTATGATGAAGCCAAATCAAAGAATCAGCAGTTGATTGACCATGAGACATCAAGATGTGATTTGTTACTTTATTTGCAGGAGATTGTGACACCAGATAGTACAGCCCACCTTGCTCTTTAGCACTACCAATCGTCTTCCCCGTGGCGAGATCCTGAAAAACACAATGGGTAGGATAGAAGGTTACAGTACAATTCAAATCTTTTGTAATTTTATGAATAGAAAGAAGATTCGTGGAGAGTTTAGGAACATGAAGAACATCCTTAAAATGTAAGGACTGCTGTAAGTTTATGTCACCAGATCCCGCAACTGATGTATGAGAGCCATCAGCTACGGCTATTGTATGAGTTCCAATGGTAGGATGATAAGAGGTAAAGGAGTCAGCACAACAAGCCATATGATCAGTAGCACCAGAATCAACAACCCAAGAATGTTTAAAATCATTACATGAAGAAAGGAAAGAATAAGTTTTGGAGCTCATACCAGTCATAGTCAAAGCACTAGTATCAGATGGCTTACTCATAGAATCAAGAATGGTTCGGAGCCGTTCCATCTCATCTGAACGAAATGCAGGTTGGGTCTTATTAGGTGTAGGAGTTATTTCAGAGGAAGTAAAATGCGCTTGACCACGCAACTTTGCCATCTTTTCTAAGACAGATTGCTTTCCATAAAGGCGAAAGCATAAATCCTTGATATGACCTGTTCTTTTACAATAAGAACACCATCGATCATCTCTCTTAGGTCTAGAAGAGGTACCATCATAAAATTTTGAAAAAGAACTACCTTTGAGAAGAGGTCATACTGCACAGAAAATGGTCAAAGAAAAGCTCCAAGAAGCCAAAAAATCACAAATAAATACCAAACGATGTCTGATCAAAGAGAGGAGCACAAATCCAGAAAGAGGATGAAGGGACGATCAAGATCGCGGTGGTCCGATCCGGAAAAATGATCTCACGCGCCTCCACACGCCGGTGAGATTGGCTGCGCGTGGGCTTCACTCGCGGTTGAAGGGGCGGCGCGTGTGGGCGCGTGCGGTGGCCGTCTGGTCTGAAATTTCTGGAGCAACGTCGTCCGGTGAGCGCGGTTCTTTCTGGGTCTGTTCGGAGTTGAAAAACCACCGGGAAATGGTCCAATTGTGATGAACAGATGTTGTCTTGTGATGAAGAATAATGGAGACGATGAACAGTAACAGAGATCCAGTATAACAGAGATCTTCTCGGTCCAAGAGGTCCCCGGAAAAAAAAATCCGGTGGCGGCTGATGGCAGCGAGAGACAAAAAGAATAAAAGGTTTTTGTTCTAAAGACAATAGGCGCGGAAGCAGAGCCCTCAGGATCGAGAGCTCTGATACCAACTTGAAATAAAAGGGTATTTGAAATATTATTGAATCGTATTTGAATCTGTACATAGGGGTCTCTATTTATAGAGACTTCTTGACCTAATTTTGACCTAATGGGCTTGGCCCAATATACAAGTAACGGACTAAATAAATACAAATAAATGACTACATAATTACTAATAAATGACTACATAATCACTATTTACAACACATGTTCTGTTTTAGATGGACTTACACTCGGTGCATCACCAGAACTCGATGATGGACGAGTTTCATTGCCCCCATCTCCTGGACGATCAAGCAAAACATTACCTACAAGAATGAACTTCACCTTAGCTGAGAAATTGGGAACCTTTCCAGATAGGTTGTTATTAGACACATTCAGAATCTCAAGTTGAGGCAAAGTTGTCAAGCTCCAAGGTATTGAGCCAACCAAATTATTATCACTGAGAATCAATTTCCTTAAATAAGTTAAATTGGCAAATGCAGCTGAAATGGTTCCGGTCAAATTCTTCTTTCCTAAATTCACCGTAGTGATATTCCCTCCTTCACACACAATGAACCTCCAATCTTGACAAGTGTTGTTCCCTTTCCAGGCACTAGCCAACAGAAGGGGATACCCAAAATCCGCAGCAACATGAAGCAAAGTGGTGGCAGTGGGATCACAAGGCACACCAGGACTTGATTGACAAAAGCTATTGATCCCATCATCAAGAGAGACCTTCACACCTTTCCCAAACTCAGGAACAGGACCCTGCAGCATGTTGTTGTACAAAGAAACGTTCCGTAAGCTAGAGAGAGCCATCAAAGAAGGTGGAACCACACCAGTTAACAAATTGTCCTGAAGATGAAGATCAAACAAGTTGGTACAATTTGATAAATCCGGAATTGGACCCGTGAACTGGTTCTCGCTAAGCCACACCTGAGACAATGAGGTCATGGAAGAAAGCACGTCGATTGAACCGGAGAGGCCAAACTCGTTTTTCTGACTCTTGAGCCTCAAACTCTTAATCGACAATCCCGCAAAGGACTTCGGCAAACCACCGGTGAGTTTGTTGTAAGAGAGACGAATGCTCTGCAAACTGACAAAGGAATCGAACACATCCGGCAAGGGACCCACGAGGTTTGAGTTTCCGAGGTGGAGTTGGAAGAGGTTGGTTGACTGAGTCAACTCGGTGGGAAAGGTCCAGGGTTCGAGGTTAATGTTGTTGGTTAAGCTAAGGTTCTGCAAGCTGGTTAGCCCTTGGAAGCAACCGTCACGTATGGAGGTGAAGTTGTTGCCGTCGAGGTACACTGTTTGGAGCAAGGAAAGGTTCGCCGAGGAGGGTAACGAACCGTAGAGAGAGTTTCCCTGGAGAGAGAGGTCAGTTAGGTGGGAGAGTGCGTTCAGATTGGAAGGGAGTTTTCCGGTAAGTGACTTGGAAGCCAGATTGATAGAAATCACGCGGTTGAAGGTGTCGCACTTCACGCCGTCAGTTGCAAAATGCGTAGCGAGACGTTTCAGTATCCGAATACCACCCTATTGCTTTCCACAGCTTCAACATGAACACACCATCGTCGGTGACGGCGGCGGTGGAGAGGAGAGAGAACAACAGGAGAAGCGTAGAGAGAGAGACAAGGAATTTCGATTTAGCCATTCAAATGACAAATTAAGGTGAAGCGTTTGTGCAGATGAAAGAAAGACAAGTGGGGAATCAAAGAAAACATACATTAACTTGCTAACAGATCAAAGACAAATTATGGTGTATGCCACATGTTTTCAAACGTAGCAAACTGTTCATGGCAAATTATCTTAAATTGATAGCATATCTATTCACTTGCTACTTGCTGACTTCATCGTTCAAACGAAGGATTCCATCAACTACGACAAAAAATAATAATAATAATTCAAAAAATGAAAATATTCATGAAAAGTTTGAATTAAAAATAATGTATACAAGAGGTAATATATTCATACTATCAATTTTTTTATTATTAATCCACTATCACTCCAATATAACTATGTATTTCGGGGATTATATTAAAGGTTATTTTTCTTTTCCCTTTCTTTAGAAACTTTTCAGAAATTGTCTGCTAAAAAGTGGGATTGAATTATGATTATAGTGATAATGAATTGGTAGAAAAAATAATTAATAACCTGAATATACTACCTCTATATATAATTATACATTTTTATATATACATTATTTTATATTCATACATTTTTTATAACTTATAATTAATCTCATTCCTTTGGACATGAGATAACATAGGTAGGGGTGAAAGTAGGTTGAGCCGGCCTACAACCTAACCTATATTAGGTCAAACTCTGCTTATTACATATAGTTAAATAGAACAGGCTCTGACTTTTAGGAAAGTCTATTTAGAAAGTAGCTCATAGACTTTTCTTTTACATGCCGGGCATATAAGTATTTATTTTAAATAAAAAAATAATATTATTTATAGTAGTACCAAATAGTGATAGCTCAGTTGATGCATGTGAGCTGAGTAGGCGTTGGAAGGACTTCGGTTCAATCCCCATCAATACCACCTTTAGGAGAGGCATAAGATCGATACTAATCTCAACAGTAGCATTAGAATCAACGTTTAGTACTAGAGGAAGAGTTATTAATGGTTATCATTTTTCCTTGGCTGAAGATATCATCCAAGCTTTAATATGTGATGGAGATTGGCTACGTAATAAGTATGGCTTGAAGAAAAAATAAAAGACATAAATTTAATCAATTGAAATTATTTTATAATTTAATTATATTTGATTAAATCTTAATAGAAATCTGAATTTATTTCTTATGTAGGAGGAATCAGCATCTCAGTATATAAGATTGTCTATATGAATATATTAAATGTAACATCTCGAGCGCTGACGAGGGCGGGGAGTGATCGCCGGTGCGAAAGGGCATGGACAAGGAGCGGCTCCTGACAGGCTTCCAGCGGGGGGTTACATGCACGAATAAATCGAATCGACCCCCGAAAGGGAGGGATTCCAAAGACTGTGCAGGTATGAGACTGCACAGTTTGGGATAGCTTATAAGAATTAATTGGTACTACCTATACTAACAAGATGCATCTATTTTTCGGTAACCCAGAACGGAAGAACTCCACAGCTAAGCATGCTTGACTTGGAGCAATTCTGGGATGGGTGACCTCCTGGGAAGTGTGCGAGTGAGAAAAAAGCACACTGAAAAGTCTCGTGTTAGTATGTGGGGATAGTCATTGATTCTTGAAGCGGCCGGGCGTTACAAGTGGTATCAGAGCAGGCCTCTCTTCCAGTACGGTGTGGTTCGAAGACGAACCAGGCAGAAGTTGGTGGGCATGTAACATTCCGAGCGCTGACGAGGGCGGGGAATGATGTCGGTGCGAAAGGGTATGGACAAGGAGCGGCTCCTGACAGGCTTTTAGCTGGGGGGTTACATGCACGAATGAATCAACTTCCCAGGAAGTGTGCGAGTGAGGAAAAAGCACACTGAAAAGTCTCATGTTATTATGTGGGGATAGTCATTGATTCTTGAAGCGGCCGGGCGTTGCAAGTGGTATCAGAGCAGGCCTCTCTTCCAGTACGGTGTGGTTCGAAGACGAACCAGGCAGAAGCTGGTGGGCATGTAACATCCCGAGCGCTGACGAGGGCGGGGAGTGATGTCAGTGCGAAAGGGCATGGACAAAGAGCGGCTCCTGACAGGCTTCTAGCTGGGTGGTTACATGCACGAATGAATCAACTTCCTAGGAAGTGTGCGAGTGAGGAAAAAGCACACTGAAAAGTCTCGTGTTAGTATGTAGGGATAATCATTGATTCTTAAAGCGGCCGGGCGTTACATTAAAAGGTTTTTTGTTTCTTAATCTTTTTTTTTTGTTTTTTACATTTACAAATTGTTTGTCAACTTATATAACCTTGGAATTGTATTTGGAGGGGAGGGAAGATGCTGAGAAGTTTTTAGCTACTACAAGCATCATGATGTGTTCATGTAGTTATTTTAATTTACATAGTGTGGATTGGTTTGTTGGATATTATGAAATATAGGTTATTTAGTTTGAGCATTTTGCTTCTGAAAGTGACTTAAATGCAAATTGTGATGAGTTGCTATTGAGATTCATGGTTCTGTTTGGACGTTGAAATTGTAATTTTTGTTTTAACAATAGATTTTGAGTATTTTGTGAAGTTGATTCATGATTCTGGTTGGAAGTTAAAAATTAACAAGCTAACGGACCAAGTCAGGCCATTTGTTTTTTTTTTTTTTTTTTTTTATAAATGGCCAAGTCAGGCTAACAATTAGACTCATACTATGCTATTGGGTAAGAGCAAATTGAAATTTTTTAACATAAATTTGAGTTTTTCAGAACAAAACTCGACTCAGTCCAACCCACTTTCACCGCTAGACATAGGAAAGACAACCAATAAGTGAATAAGACACTCCTTTCGGGGAACCATCGAAGACTTACAATAGAAAAGGCTTGGAAATTACTTATATAGGCCACCCTCTTTCAGGAATAAATTTTTGGTACTACTGTTGTACCTAGATTCAGTGCATCTCATCAATGAGAGCATTACACATCAGAGGAGAGAAGAAAAATTTAATTGATATGTAATATTTTTATTGGTGGGATGCACTGAATCTTTGATACAACAATAGTACCAAAGATTTATTCATGTTTCAGATACTCTCACGTGATAAGTGAAGGAGACACGATACTTATAGAGGCCACCTTGTTTCAGATATAGTATATAGTGACGAAGGAACCATGATCATGGTTAGGATATAATATAAAATTATTTATGCTCTTTTAATTAATAATTTTATTTTCTAAAAGAGTTCGTTCATAATATATTATCACAATCTCTACCATCAAGTGATTTCTTACCGCTCCCTTATTTTAATAATAAAAATAAAATACAAATGTCCCTTGACGAAGATTTCACTATGCACTTATGCTTTGTTCATACTTTGAGCCTAATACAATAAAAACTGTTAAATAAATTTGTGATGTTTCATACTTTGAGACTAATACAATAAAAAGTGTTATGAAATAAATTTGTGTTCGTATCTCTACATCTTCTCTATTATAAGTAATGTAATCACTTTCATACAGATTCTATTTATGGGGTTTTAATATACCTCTGTGGGTATGGGAAGGAAAAAATGGAAAGTAATCTTCAATACATTTCAGATCTGGCCAAAATTTCTAGTTCTCCATGAAATTAAATCTCAAATTCAGATACAGACTAACAACATCCATTGGAATTTCACAAATTGAATAAAGAAATACAAGAGTATGTGTTTAATACAAATGAATTTAGAAAATAGAATTAAAATGTAGAAGAGGAAGAAGAAATGACATCTAGAACTTGGAAAATGTTGCGCTCAATTAAATCCTGCTAAGCTTCCAAGAAACTTCAACAGAGATAGTCCCAACTTCAGCAATGGTCCAAAAGAATAAGAAAAGGTTACAGAAGAGTGAGAAACTTCCCGAAACCCAAAGCAAAGACGCGTTTTAAAAAGTGTAAAGTAGTATAAGAGGCCAAAAAAAAAAAAAAATTGGATAATTGTAAAAATGTGATCAGGTGATAATATTATATTGTTATTTGATCACGGTTATTTATTTAAAAATTATATATTTTTCTATTTTATATTATTATCAATGAGTAAATATAATCAAATAACGTGATCACATAGTTTTTTAATATTTTTTTAACATGAATCCAAATCCTAAAGAAAAAAATGTTCTGCACCCTGTATCCTTTTATAGTGACATGAAATTTTCAAAATGTAGAGCTAAGGTCCTTTTCCAAGGTCCCCACGTTGCAACCGACTTTTTAACCTTTTTTTCTTTATCTTTCTTGCTACCTCAACCTCTCTTTCTTTCTTTGTAATATTCAACTATCCATAGAAAATTTATCACTTTTCATACTAAAACCCCAAAAGTTATTCAAATGCTATTTTTTATTCACATATATGTAGAGGTATTCAAGTGCTATTATTTGAGCCTAATAGGAATTTCTTTTTCCCTATTTAACAATCTCTTTTTATCTAGAATTTTATACCCTTCTCTTATATTTTCTATCAATTAATAACATGTTATCAATATTGTTATGGAATATTTTCATATCCTAACCACCTACCCAAGAATTTCTTAAAGGATAATTCTCCAATTATTCTAACAATATAAAACAGTAAGGCAACTAAGGATAGAATCCCTATCTCAACAGAAAGAAAGTTAAATCCTACTACAACTGGGAAATCTACACAAGCCCAAGAGGTAACCCTGATAAATAAGAGGTTAAAGACCCCAGGTATACACGCTGAACTCATTTACTACTACTGCCCACACTGTGCACACACCCACCCCTTGGCTATAAGCCTATTGCTTGTGCGCAGTGATTGAGACCTCGGCTATAAGCCTAGTATACACCTGATATACACTATCTCTGAGCGCATACCATACGGTAGAGCAATACGGTCTTTCCAGAACCGAACATTGGCGCCGTCTGTGGGAAACCGTAAACTTCGATTCCCACCCAACTATAGTGAGCACGCAGAGCACAAGCGTAAAGCCACGGATAATCACAGCGGTAGCAAGAGAAGCGATGCCACAACCAAATCTTAATACAATGGGGCTCACCATGAAATAAAAAAGAGCATGAAGG